TGCTCTCTCTCTCTCTCTCTCTCTTTCTCTCTCTCTCTCCTTCTCTCTCTCTCTCTCTCTCTCTCTCTCTCTTTCTCTCTCTGTCCTCTCTCTCTCTCTCTTTCTCTCTCTGTCCTCTCTCTCTCTCTCTCTCTCTCTCGCTCTTCAACTTATCTAACTTTCTTATATAATTTTATATATTCGGTATCTTCTCGATAGGTCTTTCTAATTCAATATTGTATCATTGTTTGAATCAATATATCTAATATGGCAAAGAAATATACAACCAGCAATCTGTATCTTATATCTAGTAATATGTATATATATATATATATCCCAGATCAGCCTTTATCGTTGTTTGAATCAGTTTCTCTATGTTGGCAAAGAAATATATAACCAGTAATCTGTATCTTATATTTATTAATATATCCTAGATCAGTCTATTGCAATAAGAACGAAATCCAAAGATAGCAAAATGTACAACCTGAAAATGCTGATTTTAGGTGAAATTTACGGATCTGATAGAGATCTAGATATGCTGACCCAGAGCTTGCCGAAACCCTACTCAACAAAACTACCCTAAAACTTTGCGAATGCCCGAACCTTTCTTCAATTTAGCTCTCGGAAAGAGGCTTCTACTGCCGCGCTCCCAACCTCCAGACCACTTCCAGACCTATTACCTGCTATCCGGCATTACTTTGTTTCGGACTAGTGAGGATTTAGTTAGCGGTCTGGCGTTGCAAGCTGCAGTTGTCCTCACTTGCACGTCCTCTCGTGCCAGAAGGGCGGTTCATAGCTCAGGTCCTGCAGCGAACAACGACATCGAAAGCTCTCGTTCTGTAGCCCTAGGATCAAAAAACGAAACGCTAAGCCCCGAACCCTGCAATGCAAACACTGTGCAGACCGATAGCCACCTATTGATGGAGGAGGGATTTGGGGTCACGAAAAAGGGTATCGTAAGGATGATCTACCTGGCTTTCCGAAGTTAGCTTTACAGGTGGGCCGCGTAAAGCCGAGCCTGCCAACCACCTCTCCAGTGCAGTTATGGTTAAGGCTTTCCTTCTAAACCCTAAAGCAACCCCTAAACCCCTAAACCCAAAACCCTAAACCCCTAAAGCCTAAGCCGTAAACTTTTAAACCCCGAAACCCAAAACCCTAAACCCCTAAACCCTAAACCTCTAAACCCTGAACCCCTAAGCCCTAAACCTTCAATCGTTTCAGATGGGCAGAGCCGAGTCTGACACAGGAGATTCCTCACAAAGAGTGTGGGGTGTGCGAGGAGCTGCACTGTTTCTGGCTTGTGAAATAAAGGGTTTAGGGTCTAGGGGTTTAGGGTTTATGGGTTTAGGGTCTAGGGTTTAGGGTTACGCTCGACATGATGGACGCACAGGGGTTGCCAATGGAAGAGAGGCGGCAAGAAAGTGCATGCTGCAACAGGCCACAATCTCTTCCTCAAAAGCCTAAACCCTAAACCCCTAAACCTCAAACCCTTGCTGTTGTCCAACGCCGCCTGCGACGAGAAGCCACGGAACGAGCAAAACGCACGAACTCCCTCGGAAGCGTGCCGTAGGGGTTGTTTGATGATATGGAACCCCATAGGGGACCCTTATTTCGAAAAACCCCCCTCTAGTCTTGCAGCTCAGCTGTTTTGCATTCGGGTGCTGGGGTCAGTCTGCAGATGGATCTGGGTCTCAAGAGTCTGCTGAGATGCAAGGCTGGAAAAGCATGGAAAGCTAAGCAAAATGGCATGTGTGAGACGAATCCCTTCAGACTGGATTGGTGCTTGGAGGATGCCCCACTAGCACTGCAACTTTGCGTAGCGGCCGGCGATTGGAATGCATGAAACCGTATGGCAACCCAACTTCTGAACCATACACCCCTCCAAGAACAAAATACATAGTAATTGTATGAATTTCTCTTCGAATTGCATTTTCGAATTTTCGCCGAGACCTGCCCAGCCGAGCCCACACGCAGCCCAGCCCCGCCCACCACAGCCCAGCCCCGCCCGGCCCAGCCCAGCACCAGCCCAAACCGCTAGCCGACCAGGCCAGGCAGCCCAAGCCCCAGAGCCCAGCCAAACCAAAAAAGAAAAGAAGAAAGCAAAACTTTCGCTCAAAACTTTCGGTCCAAACTCCGGACCTGAACCCTATACAATTACTATAAACCTTCTGCACAACCGTACCCTAAATTCCGTCGAAGCGTCCGCTCGCTGAGCAAAGGCTGCATCAACTAGGTAATATAGGGGCCGTAGCATGTAGATAGTTCTCTAAATCAGGGTTCTTTTTAGGGTCCTTTTTGTAAGGGTGCCGTACTATGTTGGGAAGCTAATTGGGGCCCTAATTTAGAGAACTACCCATGTAGATAACAGTATGGAGACGATAAAGGGATACTACTGCGAACGGTTCAGGCCTCTATATTCCCCAGGAGGAAAAATGGGGGTTTCCGAAAATAGGGGACCCTAATATAGTACCCCAAATAGTAGGCTCCTTATTATTAGGACCTGTACCCCTTAATTTTCGGAAAGTCCCCCCCCATATTGTTGAAGGACAAAATGCAAGGATCGACCTTGCATTGCCAATTCCGAATCTCTCCGAGGGTCTTGGCAAGAGCTACTCTGGTTGGGTGAAGCGTGTGAGCTTTGGCACCCCAAACCCTAAACCCTAAATCCCTTTAGGGTTGAGGGTTTAGGGGTTTAGGGTTTAGGGTTAGAGTTAGGGCTTTTAAAAGCCAGGGATTAGGGTCGAGGGTCTGGTAGGCCAGATGATACAAAAAGGAGCGGAACTTGGAATGCCTCAAAAGGGGAAGCCTGAGAACTTGCATGTCTCGGGCTCTCCCGTCTTCTGGGCTCGGGCTTCTTCTGCAGGGAAGCTTCGATGGCCTTTTAGAAACAAGTGAAACATATCGTAAATAAGATCCTCGTAGGCCCAATGAGGGAGAGTGCGGAATGCCTGAAAGGCCCTACCTAGGCCAAGAAGAAGCCGCCGTCATTCTAAATTGAGAAGAATTCATCGGACCTTTGGGCTGAGCACAGCGGTTTTGGGTTTTGGGGTTTTGGGGTATTATGGTGTAACCCTAAGATACCCTAAGTAACAATGGTAGGGTCACAGGTCAGAAGCTGGACTGCTTCACGAGGTCGCGCACATTCGTGACGTGCCAGGCCCCACTCAGAAATTCAACTACCTGAAGCAGCACAGGACCCGGCGGGGCACACGGTCCAACTTTCTGACTCCAGAACCCTAAACCCTAAACCCCACATCCTCGACCCCTGCGATATGTGAAACCCCCAGAAGCCCCTGCACAAAACCGAAGAAGACGCTGCAAGCAAACCGTAGACCATGCTTGCCTTGCACTGTTTGGGCTGGCACTGACATACCCAGAGAGCCCAATACCCCTTAGATAAGCAGTATGCCTTAAATTTGCTTGAAATCATAATATTAAGGCCCCGATGATTTAAGGTATATTCCTTATTTAAGGGGCATTGGGCTCTCTGGGCAGATTCTGGCTTACCTTGTGGCCATCCTCATGATAGCAGGGCTACCCCGATCTTCCTAAATGCCTGCATTGAGGAAAAGACCTTCCTTGACTAAGGATCCTACCATCCTTTAAATTACCTCCCCCCTTTTTCTATGAGCATATTGGAAGGCTCCCTAAACCCTAAACCCGAAACCCTAAACCCTAAGACCGTCTCCAAGGTACCATGCGGTGGGAGCCACAGTTGTCTGCGTCGATTGCCACGTCCAGTGCCGTGCGACCACGCGAAGTCTTTTGATGTGGGTCGGCCCCAAGCTTCCTTGGTTTAGCCTCTTTAGGGTTTAGGGTTCCTGAGTAGCCTCTTTATAATAAGGGTACCCTTTGTCCTACTATTCGGTTTTAGTAAGGGGGCCCTAAACCCTAAACCCTAAACCAAGGGGGCCCTAAAATAAAAAGGGCAAAAGGGTACGACTCAAGGACCAAGCTTCAACAACTCTCGAACCAAGCAGAGGGAACCTCGACGTTCTGTTGGGGTTTAGGGGAGTTTAGGGTTTAGGGGTTCAGGGTTTAGAAGTTTAGGAGTTTAGGAGTTTAGGGGTTAGGAGTTTAGGAGTTTAGGGGTTTAGGAGTTTAGGGGTTTAGGGTTTAGGGATATATACCCGAAGCCCTAAACCTAAAGGCTCACAGCTTCCAACTAGCTAAACTGAGCTTGGCACTGCCTAGATTTCCGATAAACCCAAAGCCATACACCCTAAATCGCCACGAATTCTGTTTCAAGCAGTTTATGGCTTATAATACGTAGAGTCAAGTAGGTCTGTTCTTGCTGTATCAGGTCTGCTATTCGGGTACTTAACAAAGCGTTAACTGCCTACTATGCCCCACCTCCAAAGGATCTCTGGGAATGAATAACTAGAACAGGAAGAGGTTTTGCGCTGGACTATGGTGTACTTATTACAACAAGCCCTGTGGAATAACATCGGTACTTATTCAGTCATGATACGTGTTGGCCCGAAAGAAATTCAAGTGTGCCTGCTCATTCAATCCGAGGCACCACCCAGCGCGGCGAAGTGAAGGGGATAGAGTGTCTCCTCTCAGAATAGTATAACAGTCTGAATGACAGATGGACTCATAAGAAATGTCATTACCACTTCGCCAGGCCACTACAGTGCATGTAGCAGATGATTATACCTGTCTCGTAGATGGGGAGCTGCTGTTAGTTGCGTGTTATCAACTTCGATGTGAGAGCTTCAGGAAACAAAGGTTCTCTAAATGAGCCCCAAAAGAAGTAGGATACTTATTGCTTATTTTACGGAGATTGAACTGGTAATCTCCATTTTCGGAAAGCCCCATCTAGTTTGCTTATTGTCTTGGGAGTGCAAACCCGAGGGCAGTTTGGCGAAGCATCCGCAAGTCGAGCACTTCGGGATTTGGGTAGTTCTCTAAAATTAGGGTCCCTTAGTCCCTTTTAGGATCCTTTTTTATAAAGGTGCCCTACTATACTGGGGACCCCAAAAAGGGAACCCCAAAATAGAGAACTACCCATATAGAACCCTCATAGTCCCCTGATAGAAACCCTATAGAAACCCTTATAGATCCTTTTAAGGAACCCTGGGACTACCCATTTTACAGGGAGAAGCTGACCCAAAGCCGGATTTCGACAGACCAGTGAAGACCCCTGACTAGGAAACTCCTCTCCCGGGTTTAGGGTTTAAGGTTTTAATATGGAGTATACCACCATAAGTTTAGGGTTTAGGGTTTTCAACAAGAATGAAGAAGAGTGTTACCGCCTTGAAAGAAGGGTGCTCATGAACCAGGGGGCCTACATTAAGCATGACGTAACTTGATGTCTGTCCTGACCACCACGGCGAGGCTCATTGATGCCTTCAAATCCATGCGAACGCAGGCATTCATACACACGGGCGTGCCTCTTGTCCCGGATCATCTGGCGTCGGTGTTGGATAGTTGCAACCTCCGAGTCCTCGTTGCATCGCTGTTTTTTCGAGCTTGCTGGCACTTGGGATCTTTCCGTTCCAGTTCCAGGAAGCCGAGAAGATTTCCGATGGATCGTGGCCTCATCGGGCACCTCCCAATCCACCTCAAAATCCAAGTCCAAGTCGTTCTCCGAACAGGCCTCGGCTAGATGCTTTAGGGTCCAGGGCTTAGGGTTTAGGGATTGCTGCCGGTTGGAGTGCTACTTCTGCTGCCTCACACCAGACTCTTGCCATGTTGTCACTGTTGTCCTTATTGGCTCCTTACCCTTTTAGAAAGTTATCGTCATGATCACCGTCTTCTTCCCCTGCTTAAAGGCTTAGTACTTCGCACCAGTGGTAACTACATGTACTTGGATCACAGCTCAGTACCTTTGCATACTTGCCAAGACTTATCTTTAAATCCCTACTATATCGCCTCGTGCTTGAACACACAAAGTAATGGTAATCAGCACCACTGGGTAACACGGATCCCTAAACCTGAAGTCTAGACCGCTGCCGATGCTACCAGCATGTCTTCGATGGTTGCTGACTTCGCTCTTCGCGAAATGTACCGAGTGGGCGCAGATAACTATATCGATCTATATATATATATATCACATACATTATACAGATCATACATGTCATACATAATATGTACATAGCCGCAAACCCCGAAAGACCTGAAATCGTAAACCCGTCTGTCGCGCTGTAAAACGCTATAGAAGCACCAAAAAACGGCAAAACCTCTTTCAAAAAATGTGAATAAGACTGCTTAATCCGCATATAATCCTTACACAACCCGGAAAGCATGCCCTATATGATGGTCCCTACAAAAGCCTCATCACGCCTTAGTACCTAGCCTTGTAACAAATCCTTATTATACAACCCTCCGGAAGACCCGGTTAAGAACAAAACTTACAGAGCCTGTACAGTCCTTAAAGCCCGTCTATAACGGTTTAGGGTGTTGGGTTAAGGCTTTAGGGTTTAAGGGTCCTTGTTTAAAGCCCCTCCATAATCCAAGCCTACGCAACCCTTATACAAACTCTGAAGAAACGCCTCTAAAAGAGCAATATCACCGGGGAAACTCTTTGGCCTAGAACCGCTAAGCATCGCTAAAGCCTTAACCTCAAAGCAGATCCCAAGAGGCCGTGGAAGTGGAATTGGTGGCTGTGGAATCATCGATGTCCGTCTTATTGCTGTGCTCAATAAACGTCGCTGGATCAACCTGTTGGGTTGAGATACCTCGGCTATCTAGGACGTGTCCTTGGGATGTTTCTTGGCATTTATGGTTTGTACAAGTTGTAATTACGCATAGGCCCCTAAGCAGTTCCTTTTTGTGGTTTATATTTAGAATCCTATAAGGTAATCCCCAAAAGGAACTACTTAGGGGCCTATGGCTTTATACAGAGATTCAAGCAGACATTTTTGGCCGGGTTTTTGGGGCATCCTGCTTCCCTGCACCACGGTTTAGGGTTTAGGGTTTGGGCCCTGTTCTGCCCTGCTCAGCTCCGGTACCTTACATTCCCCACGTGAAGAGTGTTAGAAGGTAGGCTACCCTGAAGGGTGGAAGGAATAGCAACTGCAACTGTCTCCTACCAGCTTTCTTGCTGTCCGCCCGCCCCGTGTCCAAAGGTTTTTGTTTGCTTCTCACTCACTCACGGCCGCGGTCTCGGCAGCGGGCTTGGCTGCTAGGGTGGTGCTTCTTGTTGTTCTTTCCTCCTGTCCGTGAGCTTTTGCTCCGCTCACGCCTCAGACGCTCACGGCGGCGGGCATGGCATAACACCTTGGGGAGGGATTTATTGCTCCGCTGTGGTTTTGAGTTTCTAGTTTTCGGCTCGCTCTCGGTGATTTGCAGGTACCGCACTCCGCACCAGCCAAGAACCTGCCGGGTGCGGCGTTTTCTGCCGCAGTGGTGCTTGTTTTCGCCGGGGTCCCGGTCTCGACACTCACTGGCCTATCGCTGCCGCGGCCGTGCTCTTGTTCTGCTCTCGTATCACTAGTATAGGGGCCTTAATAATTAGAGTAGGGTTTTGGGGCCCATTATACTATCATTATAATAAGGAAGCCCCAGGTAATTATTTAGGCCCCTATAGTACCTGGCCCGAAATGCTCACTCACGGCAGCTGGCTCGGGAGCCCAACCGCATCGGATAAACAAAAAGCAACAACAAAAACAATGTCACATTTAGGGTTTAGGGTTTAGGTCATGCTTCAATGCTCTTCCAACAGGCGCATGCTGAGGAGTCGCCGCTGGCCCAAAATGTAACATGTATCCGTCCAACATTCAACGGGCACCGCTTTTGGCTTGAAGGTTTAGGAATGTTTAGGATTTAGTGTAGGAGGATTGAGCTGGGATTTTGGGTCGGGTGGTTGCATGGTTGTACAACAATGCGGGGTGTTGGGCTTCATGAAATTATCGGTTGTTTACTTCTTTTGTTAACCCGCAAAAACACAGCTGAGCCCAAAAGCCTATAAACCGTAAAACCTACCCCCTGAGTTAAGGGACCATTTGTAATTTCTTATCTTTAGGGCTTGGGGGGGGGCATGAAGTTGTGAGGGAGAGCCAGCTGTCCCCGAAAGACACCGAAGCCCTAATTAAAGGAAACTACAGGTGGGGAGTTTAGGGTATGTAGGGCTTCCACAAGGCTTCTATAAGGCATATAGACCTTCTATAAGGCTCCTATAACGGTAACTACCCACCTGAAAATGTCCTAGACCCTAAATCCAAAAAAAGCCCGAAAGCCATTGGCAGCAAACATCCCCAAGTACCCTGGACCCAAGATAGGCCGAGACCTACCCAGAGCGCCCAATACCCCTTTATTTTAAGGAATATACCTTAAATCATAATATTACGGCCCCGAGAATTTAAGGTAGATTCCTTGTTTAAGGGGTAGTGGGCTCTCCGGGTAATTCCTTAACCTTAAGATTGCATCTAGCGGCCGACAAGGTTCTTGACGATTACTTTTTTGTGGGCAGTCGCTCTGCACATGCCGAAAATGTCTGCCCAGGCATGCATGGCGGCGAGTGGGGTTCGTGGAATAGATTTTCTACCCGGAAACCCACGACACGTAACTATCGGCCCTTTCGCCTGAATATATATATATATATAGATGGATAGATAGATATATATCTTGATTTTCTCCTGCAATGCGTTTGCGACCTGACAACGGCCATGTAAGCCGTCCCGAGCGCTGCGGTATCTGACAGATGGTGTAGTCTGGACAACTTGCTACACGCTCACGATACTGTTTTTCCCGAATCAAGATGTCCGCAAGTTTTGTGCAAACACAGGTTGTAGGAGTGCGCAGTCAGCCTTGACTGTCTCATTTAGTTACCATACAGCATTGTGCTTCTGGCATCTGTGCCTCGCGGATTAATCTACTATCTTCAGAACGTGTCATGAGGATTGTGTATATGTCTTTCTACTTTATGTATCTGCTAATATGCAGACTCCATGCAACAAAAATCCGGTCGTCTTCCCACCACCGTACCTGGATGACGCCTCGGAATGAAACTTTGCCGGCTCTAGATTGTTTTGGCTAGTAAATGCCTCTTCACAGAGTCAAGTCGTTAAACCATGGTGGCTTCATCTGCAACATGATCTATACCCATAGGCCCCTAAATAGTTCCTTTTTATGGATTATATTTAGAATCCTATAAAGTAATCCCAAAATGGAACTACTTAGGGGCCTATATATGTACCGGCACCATTCATGAGTTTCGCTACTCCATTATGAAAGCTCTACAGGACGCCCAGCTTGAACTCACGATTTTGCCACACCCCAGGGCACAAGAGCAAACTCTTACTACCTTTGGGGGTTTCCGAAAATAGGGGACCCTAGTATAGTACCCTAAATAGTAGGATCCTTATTATAAGGACCCCAATATAAGGTACCCCTCATTTTCGGAAACTCTCATGTGGGTCGGAAGTCCGACAGTCAGAGGGACCTCAAGTTGAGGATCTCCACCAACTTGATATAAATCCCTCACTTAAGGCCCCTACACTATGGGAGTTATAGTATATTCCTCATTATGGCTATTGCAGGATTTATATCATCAACCGTAGTAGAAGCCCAAGAGTTGGAAACCCAACGGCCTCACTCCTTAATGCATAAGGAATCGAATCAGCAAGGTTTAGGTTTTTTTTTTGGGGGGGGGGGGAGTTTGTCCTTAATCTTGATCCGATGTCCAACCTTTTGGGGTTCACTCTAAATGCACAAGCAAAGCACCCGAATCCGCAAGTGCAATGTCCCATGTGTGTAGTAGAGTTTGTTTCACAGTACCTCCATAATGAACTACAGGTATACAAACACCAAACCCTTGAAAAGCCTTAATGGCCTTTATGTGAAGCCTACCTCACTTGAAACAAGGCAGCTTCGGTCGGTCCTCATCCATGCCAATCTATGCCTGTGCTGGGGAAGCGGCTTCGGGTAAAGCACGGTGTGAAGGGTTCGGCTTAGGAAAATCCTTTGTGCCATCAGTGTCATCAGGGAAATGACAACCGCCATCCATCATGCTCATCATTACCAGTATCAGTAGCGCTATCGCTGCGATAATGGTTGCTGTTGTTGGTGGTGGTGGCG